ATAACACCTTCCGTATTGCGCCAGTGCCATGCTGGGCATGAATCAGTCCCCCTGTTAGGCAGGTTGTTGGTGGTATATATGCCTTTTATGAGAAATGTGTGTTAATAAGGCTTCTCACCAAGGCTTGGTGAGAAGAGGGCACTTACAAGTTCAGTTGGCAAACAGCTGGTTTTGGCTGTATCTTATTTTATTCTTTGTAGTGCTTATGTACTTCTTTGTAAAATATTTTCTGGTTTTTAATGATTGTAATTTACTTTTGCATTCTGTTTGTGTGTCATTGCTTCTGGTACCTGTAGTGTTGCCTATAGGCCAAGGTTAGCTTTAGTTAGGGAAACAGTCATTGGAATAGTGACAATTGAAGAGCTAGGAGATTTATAAAAAAGGTAGAAAATGCCATGGAAAGTATATAGCCAGCAGCTGAAGTATCTAATTTCTCCTCCTCCAGTGAATTGAAGCTGTTATGGATTATTGAGGACAGGGATTATCCATTCTCTGCTAAGCAGCTTACTGAAAATATCAAAGATGTAGGAGAAAACCTAGGTTCATTAACTTTCCTCTGTATATTGTGTGTTATTACCCTCTACCTTTTTTGCAATTGAAGGAGGAATTGCTGTGAAAGCCTCTAGCTCCTGGAGGAGGTCAGCACATGGAAACGTACTTCTTGCTTACCTTTCTTGCTTGATGTTTTGAAGTTTGTTTTCTTTCTTTCAGTGAACCCTTTGCACTGGTGTTAGATTAGCAGATTTATTTTCTCTTTTTCTCCTTGTTTTGCCAAGGAAATTGTTACTCATGCTGCATGACAGTAATATACAGGTGTCTTACTTTCTAGCCATTAGGAGTGGGGCTGAAGTTGGCTTCAACTGCATTTCCAGGGAACACTTCATGGGTAGCCACTTCCATGCAAAAATCAGGCTGCACGGATTTGCTTTGTAGATCCTGATGTGATTGACATTAAAAGTGGAGATAGAGCATGAGGGTCGTGTCTGTGTGACTTCTCATCACATGCAAGACCCTTGGCAGGGGCATGTGGTGTGTAGGAAGCACATCAAAGTGAAGCAGCGCAATCGCTGGTACACTTTGAAGTCTGCAAAAACTCGAGAGTATGAGAGGGCTACCCTGTTCCCTGGGTAGGTAATTTGTCTCCTGTAGAAGATGATGATGGCATTTGTTGGATGTCATGGCCAGTGTGGAATGAATGCATTGGTTTGGTTTGCTGTAAGGCAGGGTTGCTCTGTTTTCTGTGAAATCTGAACATGGCAGTTGGAAGAGGCGGAAATGTATTGGGCTGCCCAGCCCTGCACTGCAAAGCTGTTTTCTTGTGCAGTTTCCCACATGTTAGACATGTGTCCTTTGAGCAGAGGATGTGGAGCCAAGGTTTCCCATGTCTTGGTCCCAGTTGTACTGGTCCCAGAAGTCCCAGCTGCAACTTTGCTACCTAATCTGAGGAAAGTTCTCCCAAAACCTATGTATTTCCATGTCTAATTTAGGAGTTCTTTAATATTTTTTGGAGGGAGAAGAGTCCATCCTGGGGAACAGAGAATTGTGTTGCCTTTCTTTAGGTGTGTTGAGCCCTTATAGCTGCTGTCAACTCAGGTTCAAAGCTTCTGAAAATTAATCCCAAGTGTTCAGAGCCTAGTGGGAGTGCAGGCTTCTCTGCTTCTTCTTGGAAAATGGAGGTTTGGGACAAGTTGTTTAAATCTCTACCACAAGCATAATAGCAAAAGGTATGCGCTAGCATTTCTGTTTGTCCTTGCAAAGGTGTTCACAGGCCATTAGGAAGTCTCCAGTGAAGCTCCTTCAGAGGCATTGTAGCTCAGAATGCTTCAGTGCAGGCAAAGAGAGCTTGCACTCATCCACTGGAGGAACTTTTGAGCTATAAGATCTAAAGGAAGGAGAATATTCTAGAGTACTAACATAGTGGTGCAAAACCTAGTATGTTCAGAAGGGACTGGCCCTCTCCTCACCACCTGTTCCTGTGGGCAGCTTTCAAGCTGCCTCCCAGCCACTGTGTTGCACTAATACTGGTGTCCGTGGCCCACAGCAGCCGGCCAGGCCACCTGGACCTTCCGCTGTGGCAGGCACAATACAGGAATTTGCTGTTTGTTGCTCCTGACAAAGTAGCATTCCAGAGGGAGCTGGTGGTGGAGCCAAGGCTTGTCTACGTTCCAGGTCCCACAGCAAGCCTTTACATGGTGCTCAGAGGGGAATTTCTGCACCCTGCAGTTTGTGGTGGACAAAAAGCCACTTTTCAGCAGTGGCTGTTCTGAGGGTGACACCCAGTGGTGATATACAAGGGAAGCCACTTAACTGCAAGGGTTGGTCTAGAGCTGGCTGACTTCTGTGCAGATGAGCCAGTTGACTTTAACCAGCCTCCAGGACTTCCGATGGCTCTGCCTTTCCTTGGCTGCCCGGTAAGCAAGTTGCTCTGCTTTTGGTGGTAGTGGAGCAGGAGCACTAGCAAGAACATGAGGCGGGGAACTTCCACTTCTCAGCCGCGAAATGTTTGTGAGGGAGTTGGGAATGGTTATTAAACCAACTTATACTCCTTTCTTGAAGGTCTGATCTGCATCCTTCTGGATCCTTAGGAATGCATCCTTGGATGAGAGAAGAGGATGCATGTATGCATGGTGGGGAGATAGTAGTGAAGCTAAAGAAATTGCAAAAAGCATTGCAAATGGAGTAGAAACACATTAGAGGATGTTTTCAAAAACCCAAGGTGTTGGGAGGCAGAAACGCTATTAATTTCCAGTGGTGTTTCATGCTTCCTAACCCCTTCGGTGCTTTGGGAGCTCTTCTTCCTAAGTCCTTGGTTTTGAGCAGGAGTTACAACATATTCTTGAAAGATCTACTTAATGGTTCCTTTATTCTTGTTCTTCAATGGCCTTTCCCTCTTTTCCTTGTCCAGGGGCTGCAGTGAACCTGACTCTCGTGACACCAGAAAAGGCCATCAAACTGGCAGCCAATGACTTCTTCCGGCACCATCTCTCCAAGGACGGGTGAGTAGGGGGTGCAGACCTTTCATGTTCAACTTTAAAGATAAGTCTGGTGAGGCTTCAGGGCAAAGGTCATATGGGGTGTTGTGATGACTGAAATACGAGTGGACCTTGAACAGCTCAGCTGGTGCTAGGGATGTAATGTCATTTGGGCTAAGGATGTAATGTCTAAAATGGGACGTGAAAAGCACTCCACTGGACGACTGCTTTTTATTCAAGCTTCTAAAAATAGTCTCAGATCTAAGCCAAGGCTAGCAGGTCCAGAATTTGTAGGCAACATATTTGGGAGGAACCCACTGGCACTAATCACCGCTCAAGCAGCTGCTGGGAGGACCCTTATTTTCAGCATCCTATTGGATGCTGTTATGCTCTTTCTGGCTTGAACAGATGGCAAGTCAAGTTCTGTAGCCCCCAAACTTAGTGACCCTCTTGTCCTTTTGTAGCTTGAAAATAATTTTAGAGAGGTAGTGAATCTGAATTGACAAAGGGCACTTGCAGTGTTGCCCAGCAGCTGACCTTCAGCAAATGCTGAAGGAATAAAATTATCTGCTTAGCTTGCAAGTGGGGGTTAGTTCATATGAATTAAATGTGAAAATGTGAGTATATCCTGGTGTCATCTGGTATAGAGTAAATTGTCTACCTAGTAGCTTGTACAGTGCTGTGTTTGTATTTAGTGTGAGAATAATGTCGACAACTGATGTTTTAGTTTTTGCCTACCCTAAATCAAGGACTGTTCAGTCTCATGCTCTACCAGTGATGAGGGCCATGGGAAGCTGGGAGGAAGCAGAGGCAGGACACCTGACCCAAACTGGCCGAAGAGGTATTCCATACTACAGCACGTCCAGCCCAGTATATAAACTGGGGGGTGTTAGACAGGAGGGACTGATCACTGCTTGGTGGATTGGCTGGACATCAGTTATTTGTATTGTGTGTCACTTGTGTTTCATAGAATCCTAGAATAGGGTTGGAAAGGACCTTAAGATCATCTAGTTCCAACCCCCTGCCATGGGCGGGGACATCTCAAACTAAACCATTTCACCCAAGACTCCATCCAACCTGGCCTTGAACACTGCCAGGGGTGAAGTTTTCTGAGTTTTATTCCTCTTCCTCTTTTTTTCCTATCATTATTGTTACTTAGTGTTATTATTTCTGTTCTTACTATGTTTCACATTATTTCAATTATTGAATTGTTCTTACCTCAACCTGTGGGTTTTTGCTGCTTTTTGATTCTCCTCCCTATCCCACTGGTAGGTGAGCAAGTGGCTGTGTGGTACTTAGTTGTTGACTGGGTTTAAACCAGAACAGAGTAAAAGATGCTAGCTGAGGAGTTGAGAGGAGCCGGACCCTGAATATTTAGTGCTGTTTTCACCAAGGCATTTTCTTTGCAATTTGGAGAACGCTTGTGTCTCCCTTCAGACAGAGGCAGCTGGTGAAGGCCACTGTCTCCAGTCCTCAGTGACAGTAGTTAGAAAACAGCCTGCTTGGGATACGATCCTGACTCGCTGAAAATGCTAAGCTCTGCCACAATTACTTGGTTTAACAGCTTCCCATAACGTACCACATCAGTCTCGGCTGCTGGAGATCGGTGGCTGAACAACTTCAGTGGAGACTGTGGACTGACACAGGTTGGGGATCTAGTTTTTTCATGTACCTAATTTTTTTATTCTGCAGTCTTTTAAAGTAGCAGCTACCATATGTCTGTGTGACTCATCAGCTTGCAGCTGCTTGTGATTTTTCTGGCTCTTCAAATAATCTCTTTTCTGTGCTCTGCTCAGACAGTGAGAGGTAACAATGTCCTCATTGCTTCTCACTCCTTCCAAGTGGTGGATATGATCCCTGCAGCAGACAACATGGTAGGCCTTGGCATACTGCAGTAAACAGGAGCACAGATAGGTCCTCGCTACCACCTGTAACTTGAGAGCTTAGTAGATGGTACAGGGAAGACAAAAGGGTGCCAAGCTGCCTCTCCTTGTACCACCACTGAGAGAGTGGCCCATGAAAGAGATCAGACCAGCATGGCAATGTATTTGGTGTTCTGTGAGAACAATCACTTCTGTGATGTTTCAGCCATTAGAACGTGACGTGTCCTGCACCATGAGATGTCAGGACTTCCTCATGGGGCAAATGTGTGTGTCTGCCTCTCAGTGCGGAGGCAGGCTTTGAGCAAGTGTTTGGGTAAGTGGGATGCAGCTGTTGCCTCAAGCAGCTGAGGTCTTCACCCAGGTATCTTCCAGTTTGACTTCTGAATTCCTGGCTGATCCACACGTGATGTGGGTGATGTGCTACGCTCGATTCAGAATGAAGGGGAGAGAGAATTTTGGCAAGGCTAAGACACCCAGTTCTCCTAAAACATATGCACTGGTGGGACTGGCACTGCAGTGGCCTGGAGCAGGAACATGATACCACTCAGGTAGTCGGGAGCCTTTGTGTCTTGACACTAAGCATTCTTTAATCCTTTAGAGAAAAGAAAGGTTGTGCCACAGTTAGGTGACAAAAGCTATTCAGCATATGGAGTTAGAGTCACTCATCTTATTCATCTACTATGAGGGGCTTAGATGAATGAAATCTTGTCAGCTCTGCTCATGAGAATAGACAGCATGAGCTGGACAGAGAGGCAGAGCCTCTCTCTGGTACTGCTGTGATAGATGGTTTGAGGTGTTTCTAAGTAGAAATGTCATTCCAAGATGTGATGAGAAAGAAAATGCCTTGCAGGCTGGCTGTGGCTGGTATAGGCTATGAACCTTTGATCTAGGTAGAAGGTTTGGTGCATACTGTGACCTTGCTTAGTACATTGAGAACAGGGGCTGATGGAAAAGGCCGTGACATTACCAGTGAGGATAGGCGCCCTTAGAAACCAAAGGGCAGCTGCTTATTGTTGGATCCTTTTTCTCCATGCTAGGGAAATCCCAGGCCTGGAGATGGCGAATGCAACCTGCTGGAAGGGTTGTGCCTGGCCATGCTGCAGTCATTGCATGCTGCCTTTGGCAGTTCACAACATCTCCTATTGTTGCATGTGACAAATAGAAGTGATGGCGAGGGGCCATTTAATTGACTCATGAAGCTGTATCCCCCCTGAGGGTTTGCCTTGCTCTTGCCCTCTTTCCAAGCTGTTTGCAGTCTGCCAGTTTCTCCCTTGAGATGCTTCTGTCCCCTCCTCCCCAGTTGTCTTTGTAAGACAGGGCAGAATTAGCAGTGCTGGAATCCAGACTCCTCTCCTACACAGGGCAAAACTGGGTACATAACTGCTAGCACATCACAAGGCTGGACCACCTATTTCACAACTCCAGTCAAAGCCTAGGTATGAATAACAAAAGAGTGCAGGCTTAGAAAGGTGAAGGTTCAAGCTGCCTGGCGTGTCAATGTGGTTTAATTTCTGGATGTGTAATTGCAACAGTGAAGGTGTTATATGGTGCAAAGTGCAGCTGACGGAGTTAAGTCAATGTAAGGCTGGGGGCTTTTTTTTCATGCTGAGTTACCAAGATTTTGGTAGCTCCACAAATAGCTCCACCAAAGTGCTATTTGCACAAGCCAGACTACCTGCTATACATTCACAGTATGCTGTGCTCTTAGGCCAGCATCCCAAAGGATGCTCTGGTGCTTTTCTGACTCAGAGCTGCAGAAGTCTTCTAGACCTTCTGACATTGAATGCCTTTGATGCTAAGCTTCTAGCACTTGTCTTCCTTGAAATGTGTTGCATGCATTGGAGATCCTTGTCTGATAAAATGTGTATGTTCTATCAGTATTTGCTAATTAAAATATGCTGAGCATGTCTTCCATGTGCAAGTGGAAGGAGGACTACAGAGAGTGTGGCAAATCCAGCATAACCGAAAATAGCCTCAAGTTACACAACAACTTGTAGTGTGCATTTTTTTAATCCTTTTTAAAACTTAGAGTTGAAATGAACTTGCTTTTAAACTGTTAGGGGGAAAAAAAAGTAGCATAAAGTGTGTTTTCGAAAGGCCAGACTGAAAACAACATCTGTGGCGTAGGAAGCTCCTGGCTGCAAATTGCTGGAAAAGTATTTTGGGGATGTATCACAGCAGGTTTGTGCTAGACTCCCTTTTCCATGGCTATGCTCTCAGATGCTGCTAGAGGTAGAGTAGTGGGGCAGTAGGACCTCACATGGGACTTCGTGCCCTTTTGGTGCACCAATCCCTCTCAGTCTGGAGATGTGTATTCCTGCAGCTCTGTCCTCCCTTGGACCAGCTTGGAGGGACACTCCTACCCATACAATGCCTTTCTTCTCCTTTTGCTGCAGGAAGAATGCTCACAGGCTAGGGGACTGGATTTTCATAGGGAGTCACTAGGCCTAGATGAAGCACTTGGGTATAAAGCCAACAAAGCGGTTTAAATCAGTAGTACACCGGCATGCATTTCTTGATTTTTGGGTGCTCAGTGTGTGAGGCCTCTTTGATAGATGTAAGTATTGGCTACTTTCTATGTCCTCATTTGAATTTGGGTGTTAAACACTTAATAAAACCCAATCTCTTTAAAGTGTCCTACAAGATTTCATGATTATTTCCAAAGTGCGGGTGCCAGACAGTTGTTGTGTTTGGCATGTGTTCCAGGTTTTGTGGTCATTTTTCAGGTTCTTGGTTAAGTACTCTGCCTTGGCTGTGGAAAAAAGTGTCATGGCTTCTTATAAAAGCAATTCCTTCCTCATAAAAACTCTCAAGTGTCCCTGGATGAGTTTCCTGCTGCTCTTCTCCAAGGTGTGTTCTACCATTATATCTCCTGTCCTCTTCAGTTTTGACCTTCATTTTGTTTGCTATTCTGTAGTAAAGGCTGGAAATCTGCTGACTTAGCAGCTCAGGTTCCTAGGAAGACCAGCGTGGTTGTGTTAATGGTGTCTTTGCTGATGTCAGCAGATTTTCTTACATTGTTTCCCCTGCGTTGTAGCTTTTTTGCAGAGATGAGAAATTGCAAACTGTAATCCTGAGACAACGAAGGCACTTTTGCCATGCAGATGGGGAGACTGGAGCTTGTTCTCTATTGCCTTCACAGCTGACACATCTCCCCAGAGCTCCTTCCTTCATCTGCTCTTCTTTCAGGCTCTCTGAAAAAAACTCAGACCATCTCTTCTGTGGCATGTATTTAGGTAGCCACTGCACAGCCTGGTTGATCCTTGAGCTCAGACAGGCTATAAAGTGAGACCCTCTATAGGAAGGAGGGAGGATGCTGCTAGTCCTGGTGCTGAGCTACTGTGTCACCTTGCACACACTGTGCTTAGGTCTTTCTCTGGGCAGGAACCTTGTGGGCCAAGGCAGCCTCTCCGGTAATTACCCACTGGATGTCTGGGCACTTCTTAATGCAGATAACCTTCACCCACCCCACGGGGACTTTAGGTGGTGGAATCCAGCCCTTCCCCGAGAGAAAGAGCCACTTAAGAGCTGATAATCTCACTGTGCCTATTCAGGGATAGCTATTAGGGGTGTGGGGCTCTCTTATTTAGCACACAGGCTCAGGGAGTTACAGTGGGTTGAAGTTGTAGACATCAAAGGTCAGCCAGAAAGTAAATGCACTTTTAACTCTTAGTGTAGAGGGAGCTAGAGATGGGCTGTTTGATCACAGAATACACCCATGAGAGAAGCATTGCTCTTGTCTCCATTCCAGGCGCATGTCTTGGGACAAAACACAGCTTGTGTCCATTTTCAGCATGCCCCAGATGTGTTGCCCTGTCCATTGTTCACTTCCACAGACATTTGTATTGGAACAGAACACTTGGGATCTCCTGCCAGAGCAAACCTGATCTAATGGGTGCAGTCACAGGGTCACCTTCCTCTTGACTCGGTCCAAATGTGCGACACAGAGCAGCCAGAGGTAGGTTCTACTATACCTGGAGTAATGTCTGCCAGAACTCGTGGCATTACTTTTGAGGTGGATCTGTCCTACATTAGTGCTTTGTTTTGCTTGTCTGAGGCATTTTTTGCTGACAGGTTGCCCTCGTTTGAAGGACATCTCCTGTGTGTTGGTCCCCTAATCCATACCAAAGACCCACTATTTAAATTGTTTGAAAGCAGCTTACTCTCTCTGGTTTGAAACTTACAGGAAGCTTTCTACAATCTGTTGGGTTGACAGATGTTGTGGTTTTACCCAGCTGGCAGCTAAGCCTGATGCATCCCCTTGCCCACATCCCCCACACAGTGAGATGGGGAGAGAATCGAGTGAGACAACACGTGGGTTGAGATAAGACAGATATAATTACCTTTAATGGGTAAAGCAAGAGCTGCACACAAGCAAAGCAAACCAAGGAATTAATTTGCACTTCCCATTGGCAGGCAGGTATTCAGCCATCGCCAGGAAAGCAGGGCTTCATCACATGTAATGGTTACTTGAGAAGACAAACACCATCACTCTGGACATTTCCCCCTTCCCTATTCTTATGCTAATCATGACACCACATAGTCTGGCATATCCCTTTGGTCAGTTGGGGTCAGCTGTCCCAGCTGTGCCACCTCCCAACTTCTTGTGCACCCCCAGCCTACTTGCTGGTGGGGTGGGTGTGAGGAGCAGAAAAGCCTTAGCTCTGTGTAAGTAGTGCTCAGCAGTAACTGAAACTTCCCTGTATTATCAACATTTTTTTCAGCACAAATCCTAAATATCACCCCATAGTAGCTACTATGGGGAAAATTAACTCTATCCTAGCCAAAACCAGCACAAGAGACCAGAAGCAGAGGTAATTTTGTGAGTGAGGAAGCTGGGGACTAGCCTCTTGGGTAGCAGATAGAAACACACAGCTTTGTGTGGATGTTTCCTTAGGTCCGAGATTTCGTGTCTTTGGAAATCTTGTCATCCTTTTTCTAGAATGGCTGGTTTTGGTCCCTGTTCAAGCACAGTGAACTCATACACAGACAACATTTTTCAGAAACTCAAAAAAAAAATCCTGATTTAGTTCCATGTGACATCAATATTCCAATGCTTTCAGAAATCCTAACTTGGACTGATATGTTGCTCTTGAAAAACCTCTTGTAAGCCTATAGTTCTTGCTTTTTGACTTTATTATTTTTGAGCTGTAGTTTGAAATTCTTATTTAGATCAAGCGTGAATCTTCTACCCTTCCCCCTTGACATTGTTAATATGTCTCGAATTAATTACATGTTAGTTTAAAAAGTGGAACAACTGATTTCTGCCAGTGTGCAATTTGGGGCTGTTACGTGTATGTTGTATTTAACACCCTCTTGCTATGGTAAAAGATGGTTTCTGCATTTGTAGGGCGAGATCCTTGCTGTTGTTGCAGCTTTTGAAGCTAGTTGAGATGTGCCAGTTTTTAAACTACTGAGGATAAGACCTGTGGTGCCTTAAATATTTGAACCATTTTCAAACTCCTTTTATGTGCAGCCTGGTGATGTTTTGCGGAGGGAGTTTGACCCTTGTATGGCAATGCCTGACAAAAGATGAGCTTACTTTGGGCTATTTTTTTTTTTCTTGGGCTCCCTGCAGTTCCCCAGATATGCAAACCAAAAGCTGAAAGCCCTTATTCTAGATGTTTTTGATGTGCTTGTTTGACATCTCTAAAATATACCCATGCACATAAATCCTTTGCTGGGTCATGCTGGCATAGCTCAGTGGAGTTCAGTCAAGGCAGGCTGACTTTTGTTGGTTGGCACAATGATCCATGGATGAACACATAGGGCAAATCTTCCTGATCTTATGAACTGTGTATCAAAGCAGTTGCCCTGGGTGACAGCTAGGAGGTATGTACTCCAGGGATGCTCCAGAGCTCTTGCTAAAGTGGAGGTTGCCCTGCTGTGCTGTAGAGGGGGCCAGCAGCCAGCTGCTTTGGTCCTGGCCACCTCCAGGACCTCTGGATTTGCACACTCTGGTACTTGCATACCCTTCAGGAGAGATTGCTGCGTGCACTTCGGGGGCCCTGTGGATAACTCTGCAGGAGGGATTGTTCTTTGCAGCTTCTCATCTATGGGGGGGATTTGGAAAGGGGAGAATGTGAAATGTTTCTCCCTTCAGCATCACAGAAGAGCTCTATATTTAGTTGCTGGTAATCTCTGTTGTGGCTCTGTGCCTCTAATCCCCTGCTCCAATATCCTCCCTGGAGAAGATGAGAAGTGGAGAAATTGGTCTGGATGACGTGGTTGGGTCAGCAGGATTACAGCGCATCTCCCCTCCCTTTCCTATAGGGCTGGCATTGAAACTTCTCTGCTGGCCCACAGTGCCAGAGCTGTGCTCTGCATGCATATGACACCCCTGGTAAGAGAGTATGATGACTTGACTCTATTCCTTTGCAAAAGTAATATACCATTGTGGGACTGCTTTTGCCATAGTGTGGGACTTGCCTTGAGTAGGTTAAGATGAGGTATTGCTGCAGAAGGAGGGCTGGAGGGAGTAAAAATAGTACTTGCATTCAAAACAGAAAGAGGAGGCTGTTTCCCTCTGGCTGTGTGATCTATATATGCTGCTTTTTCCTCTCTTTTTAGAAAAGAGCAGGTCAGAGGCACTTCCTTTTTTTTTTTTTTTTTTTTTTTTTTTTTCTTTCTTCCTTAATTAAGTCAGTGTTTTCTGGTGCCGAGGGGTGAGATTTTTATTGTTTTTTTAAACAGCGTGAAAACACATCAGTTTCTAAAAATTGAGGCTTTCTGAGCATTTGCATCCTAAATTCCTCTCTTTAGTCTTAGCCAGGCTGTTCCATGGCTTTGGTATGGAGGGAGGTATGAAATGCTGCATTTTTTTTAGTCAAGAACATGTTGCTGATAATCCCTGCTCTCTAGCATAGAGGATGCGCAAAGCTGCAGTGATGGGGGTCCATCCCACCCCTCGTCCCTCATGCAGGACCAGTTTAATACGAAAGCTACTTTTGCAGGTTTGGGAAGGCTGATGAGGTAAAGAAGCTCCTAACCACAGGGTAACTGCCTCCCTGAGTCTCATCTTTGCTGTTTATTTATTGTGCTTTTGTCAAAGAACTCCCAAGCAGCAACTCAAAATATTTTCCCTTCTTGCCATGTGGTTTGTTTGTTTGTTTGTGGGGATGTTGACAGTGTTTAGAAGGCACAGCTGGCAGAAGGAAAGCTGCTTATTCCCCCTAATTCTCAGGTCCTCTGCTGCCCTCTGAAGTGATACCCTTTCTAAAGGCTGTGTCCTGACCAAGGGCAACGCTGCACTGGAAGAGAGCTGCAGTTCTCTTGCTGGGCAGGGAGAGGGTTGTGCGCTCCCATCTGGGGCTGTTCTGGCTGGGCTTGTAGATTTTTCTCAATGTTCTGTTTCTGGGGTGTCGTGGTTCAAGCCCAGCCCGTAACTTGGAACTGTGGAGCCGCTCGCTCACTCCCCCCCTTCTTTCTCCCCCTGCTCCTAGAGGGATGGAGGGGAGAATCGGAGGAATGTAACTCCCACAGGTTGAGATAAGAGCAGTCCAGTAACTAAAGTATAATACAAACCACTACTGCTACCACCAATAATAATAATGATAAGGGAAATAACAAGGGGAGAGGACACAACCGCTCACCACCTGCCGACCGATACCCAGCCCGACCCGAGCAGCGATCTGGGCCTTCCGGGTGACTCCCCCCAGTTTCTATACTGGGCATGATGTGCTGTGGTATGGAATACCCCTTTGGCCAGTTTGGGTCAGGTGTCCTGCCTCTGCTTCCTCCCAGCTTCCCCTCCTCTCGGCAGAGCATGAGACTGAGAAAGTCCTTGGTCAGAGTAAACATTACTTAGCAACAACTAAAAACATCAGCGTTACCAGCATTGTTCCCAGGCTGAAAGTCAAAAACACAGCACTGCACCAGCTACTAAGAAGGAGAAAAAATGACTGAACCCAGGACATGGGGCAAAAATGGGTCTCTTCTTCCAGACCAGGTGATGCGGGCAGTGATTCCAAGCCTGGGCTATGCTGAGCTGTCAAGCCTAGAAGGTTCTTCTGTCCCCCGAGCTGCCTCTCCTGTAACCCCCAGGGTCAGAGATGTGCCCGAGCCCCTGCTCCCAGCTGCCCTAGTACTACTCCAGGCTTCCTCCTCCAATTGACTCTTTCTCTCTTTTCTTGGGGCAGGAAGAAGCTGACACTGCTGAGGGAGATGCTGGCGGGGTGCGGCGCAGGTACCTGCCAGGTGATTGTCACCACTCCCATGGAGATGCTCAAAATCCAGCTGCAGGATGCAGGGCGAATTGGTATGTGGGCTTCTCTTCCCTGGGTGCTGAGCAGCTTTGGGAAAAGGGCTGGGACTGGGCTGTCAAGGCAGAGGGAGAGGGAATGAGTGGAGAAAACCCTTTTCCTTCCACCTGCTGTCGAAGTCAAAGGTATCTCAGGTTGTAGCAGAAGTTTCTCCTCCTCTTCCCAGCTCACTTTCCCCCACCCTTTGCTCATCTGGCTTTGCAGAAGCCCTTACACTTATAAAAGGTGATGATTTATTTTTTTTCTCAAAACAATAGCCTTGGCAAGTGAAACGTAAATACTGAGGTGGATGGAAAGAGACAGGAGAGATGACTGGGTGGTCAGCATGCAAATGATTGAAACTTGTTAGTTACTGTGCACCCAAGAAGGGATTAGCATCTTCCACTGCTTTTTCTGTGGCAGTTCCTCCATCTCCATGTTTTCTGATGTCTATTCTCTCTTCTGCCTCCTTGTAGCACCTCCCTAACAGCTTCCCAAAGGGATGTGTCCTTTCCAAATTACTTGTCTCCCCTCTTACTCTCTTTTTTACTTTTTTTTCTTCCTGACAAAAGCAGCAGCTGTCTCAGCTGAAAGAGTAAATAAAATTCTCCCAGCGCACTGGATTTGGAAGAGGTTTGGGGTTGGGCTGTGGGCTGGAGCTGGCAGCCAGAGGCAGGAGGGAGTATGAGCCTTTTTGCTGAAACTGTGGGGCATTTCTGGTGAGAACCGAGATGAGACTGGGGGTCTCTGGAGCAAAGGGCTGTTTGCTGTTGCCTTTCCAGAGGTCAGCTGGGTTGGGTATTGCCTTGTTCCCCAGGAGCCCCTGTGTGACACCATCAGATACCATGTTTGTGGCCCTTCCTGGAAAATGGGCCAATTTGTCCTTTCGTATCTCTTTGATGTGGCATTACTGAATCATCAGATTTATTTTTTTCTGTCTTCGCTGTTTTTAATGCAGACCTTGTCCTCTTTGTGTGCATTATTTTAAAATGTTCGAAGGAATTAAGCTGTGGTTTCAGGGTTCAGAAGAGGTTTTTGCTGCTGTGAACAGCCTGTTCCCTATGTGGCAAGAGACCTGTGGTGTGCTGGTGGCAGCCAGAGGAATGCCTGCAGATTGATGTGCTCTCCATCTTCTGGCCAAAGAGCAGAAATGCATCAGTTTGAAAAGGCTGGGAAAACCAGGTTGAGCTTATAAATGTGGCTGAGGAACTCCCAGGTTAATGAGTGCTTTCAAGGGAAGGAAGCAGAGAACAAAACTGTTGAACCTCTCTTGTTTATGAATATCTTTAGTTTGTCCTACTGCGGGCTCGGGGACATAGTTGGAAGCCGGTACTGTCCTCTGCCTGCTCATGGCATTTCCTTTTCTCTGCACTGTGGAGGTTGTGTGTGACAGGCTGCTCCTGCTTAGGTAAAACCAGTCAGCAGGATAGTGCAGCAGACAGCGTTGTGTGGCAGCAGCTAGCTCCCACACTGGGACAAGCTGAGGGAGATGGGCAGAGTGGGAGCAAAAGTTCTCAGGACACCTGGCTGGCCTCAGTCTGCATGCTTTGAGGCACCGTAAGATCTGCCTCTTCCTCCTCATCCCATGGCACTGGGCAGAAAGAGACTGCTGTTGAGCATCTTGCAGACCACTTCTCTCTCTGCTCCTCCCCAGCGGCACAGAAGAAGCTGATGGCAGCACAGGCCCAGCTCTCCCCTTCCTCTGCGGCGAGGGTGGCAGAGCCAGTGGTGGAAACACGCACCACAGCAACGCAGATAACAAGGGAGCTGCTGCGGAGCAAAGGCATTGCAGGACTCTACAAGGGCCTGGGAGCCACGCTGCTAAGGTAGGATGGCATGGGCTCGAGTGCAGCAGTGTTCCCAGTCTTGAACCTAAAGCACCAGCCAGCGAGGGGAGGAGCCTGCAAAGGGGGTGTGGGTTTGATTTGTTTTGGTTTCCATGTGCAGGTTTTGCACATTAAAGAAGGGAAGGTCAGGGAAGTGAGGAAGGCTGCATTTTTGTTCCATGAAGATTTAATTCTGCTGCTTTCTGTGGAAGGTTTTATTTTGTTCCCACATGGCCCATATTTTAATACGGTAGAGAAGTCTTTGTGAGCTATCAAAGCAGAACTGTCAGTCTGAGTCTCCAGAGTGCAAAACGGGTTCTGGCCCATAGAGTATGTGGACGTAAGGATCGGTGTCTGCTCTGACACTCTTTACCCTTTCACAGAGTGACTCTCCTCTTAACAAAGGCAGAGCTAAAGCAGTGCTCAGTGGGATGAGGCAGGATGCAATCCTCTTGGTATTAACAGAAATGGACAAACAATTGACTTCTGAATATGCTATGGTCTTCAGTTTGAGTGTTGAAAAATCAGGGGGAGGCCACCGACTCAGCAGGGCTGTGTCCCTCCCATGGGCCTGTTGGTTTTTTTGCAGTCAGTTTTGCCCCTGCTGGGTTTTGGCTCCTGTCTGCATTGCAGTTGCAGAGCTGGGTTGTCTGAATTGCACTTGTGGCTGTGCTGCCAATGCATGATGCTTGCAGCCCTTCCTTCGGTGCTTAGTTTGTTGATGTCCCACTCTGACTTTGCTCATCCTTATTCTTTTTCCCCTTCTTCACTCCTCAACACAGGGATGTCCCGTTTTCCATTGTTTACTTCCCAATGTTTGCAAACCTGAACAAGCTGGGACAGAAAGACCCCAATGTCAAGGCTCCATTCTACGTGTCCTTCCTCTCCGGATGTGTGGCTGGCAGTGCAGCTGCGGTGGCTGTCAACCCTTGTGATGGTGAGTCCTGAGTAGCTGTGCTGGTGATCTGGTGCCAGGTCACAGGAGACAGAAGCAGACTAGGTGAGGAGCAGGGTGATTGTACCAGTCTCTTAGCAGCATGAGCACACAGGGAGGTGCAGATGGGGACCTCTGCTGTCTGAGCTGCCTCCAGCTAAGATGGTGGTTTCTTCAGCTGAGCTATACCTTTGGCCACAGCTTACACAGGTTTGTAGTACTCACTAGGTAAGTCAGGAAGAGTGTGTCCTCCATTTCAGTCATTCTTCACAGGAATGGCTGTGAACATGCCCCTGAAAAGGCACATTTCCATGTGGAGTGATAGTATGCAAATAAGAGTCATGGACAACCAGGTCAGATCTGTGGCCTTTTCTCCTGCTCCACAGAATTTACCTTAAGATGCCACCTTGGTTTCTCTGCTGTGAAAAACACCAGAAAGTAAGTCCTCGCTCTGCAACATTGCACGCACTCCAAGGTGTGAAGAAATGTAAGAGCAGCATCATATATTTTAAATACTTCTTGAGAAGGAGATGAGTATTTGAAAATCAGTTCCCACTTTGCAGAAGGATATCTGAATTTGGAAGTGTTTAAAGCTTAATTCAGCCTTGGAAATCTTGGTCACAGTGAGAGGAGGCAGTTGGGGGTTTGGTAGCTGTGTTTTTCTTTTATCAGTTTGTAAAGGAATTACTTGGTTTCCCTTGGTTTTGCTGATGAATGTATGAAAATGGTCTGTGGTTTTGGTGATTTAGTTTTGACTGTGTTTCAAAGACATTACTCTCAGGGTGGCACTTGCCTGCTGAAGAGCCTGCTACATTCCCAGTGCTCACCCCTGTCTCTGTCCTCTTTTTCCCCAGTGATCAAAACACGGCTGCAGTCCTTGCAGAGGGGTGTGAATGAGGACACCTACTCAGGAATCCTGGACTGCACCAAGTAAGCCTCCTTGTGAAGCAGGCCACTACATCAGATGTATGGCATCTGCCGCTGCCTCCTGCCAGGCAGGCAATGCAGCTTCTAGACCCTCAACCAGCAGCTTCTCTGTTTTGGGTTCCCTCTGAACCTGTGTTTTTATCTATCTATATGGATAGATATATGATAGTTACATGACCAGATATGTACTGTTCATATGTACTTTTCCTATTTTGAGCAAGGTAAATATAGCATTTATATTTCAGTGCTTCTATCCAAACCCCAACAGTCTTAACAGTGAGATTTTATTTCTGCAAAGGGAGGCAAGTAGTTGTCTCTCCTAAGGCCTTGTTGCCTGACAATCCTACAGCATTAAGTCTTGTATTCCTCCTGGGACCACTCTGAACAGCAGCTGCAGGAGCACTGTCTGAATGGGCTGTCCCCAGCTGCACTCTCCTCTGACCCTTTGCAAAACTGTGGTCTGGCTGCTTCAAAACATGAAGGGAGTTTCAAAACACAAGTGCTCCATACAGCTTCTCTGTGTTGCTGCTGTTGTCAGAGTCTCTTGCCATCTGCATGTGTCCCATGTTGAGGGTTGGAGCTGGCCCCCCCCTTTTAAACACAGGGACCTTTAGATGCAAGCATGGGGTTTTCTTAGCTGTACATCCAGACCCAGGCAGACACTCCTGCTCCTGGCTGGATGCAGGGATGGGGCATGTTCCTGCACAGTCTTTTGCAGAGCACTTGGGGATGGTGGGTGATCTGCTGTGGAGGCAGTGCCGGGTGACAGTGCTTGCCTGGGTTCAGTCTCTGGAGGGAGGCAAAAATGTCAGGGCATAGTCAGAAGTTCTCCTGGTGTGGTGGGGTGGACACTCACCTGTGTGTGCCATTTCTCTCCAGGAAGATCTGGCAGAAGGAAGGGCCCATGGCCTTCTTGAAAGGGGCATACTGCCGAGCCCTGGTCATTGCTCCTCTTTTCGGCATTGCACAAGTTGTCTACTTCATCGGCATCGCGGAATTCCTGC